TCAAATATGGAAGCAAAAGAACGTGGCTGAATAATTGACGAAAATCCTGTCATACTCGGTCGAGTATTGACAATACTTGGCTGAGTATGCCTATTTTTCACAATTTCTCGGAAATTTCCTCTCATACTCGGTCCAGTATTCCCAATACTGGATCGAGTACAGAACCCTGCCACCTCCACTTTGCTATAAATACACCCCTTTTCCTTCACATTAAAATCACCAATTCTCATATACTTCTAAGCTCAGTTTAGACAAGTATTTCCTTTATATTTTCTAGTATGTTTAGTCTCCAAATAAGGAGCTAAACTCTTCCATCTTGGTTTTGCTACTTTGAAGCTTAATGAATTGTAAGTTGCGAGTTATTTTCTTTAATCTTCTTCCTTGAATATTAATTCTTCCTTTAATCTATCTATATATTAATGTTGGGGAGTGTTACTAAGATGACAATTAGTTAACATCTTGACATTAGTTATAGTAGTATTCATTTTCTTCCTCTATATATTAATGTTGGGGAGTGTTGCTAAGATGACAATTAGTTCGCGTCTTGACATTAGTTATAGTAGGATTTATCATCTTTAATATTCTTCCTTGAATATTAATTAATTCCTATTCATATTTTATATTAATATTTTGAACAATACTTAAAGGATCAACTAGTTTTGTTTCATATATTAATTATCACTAGAATCGATCGACGAGTATGTTTGTTAATCGTTCGGTCTTTTCATGGTAGTAAACTTGGATTATTAATGCATGCTTCTCATGGTTAATAATCTAAGGGGAATTAATTATATTGATTAAACCGATAAACTGCTTGTGTTGAGGTTATCAATCTCAATCGTTTCTTAAGTTTATTGCTACTATCGGGTTAATATACGGTGCGTGTTCTATATTGACTCGGTAGTAAGTTTTATTAATGAACATGTCTCGTTATTAATAACTACCCTCGATGAATTGGATATACTCCTCGATTGAGTATTCGAGAGGAAGATAGTTAAAGATATAACCGGGATCGACGGACATTTCATTAAGTGGATAAAAAGCAAAACCAAGTCCTCATCTCTATTAATTAAACTCATATAAGTCATTCATCTTAGTGTTAAATTAATTAATTCAAATCAAACTTAAAACCCCCCTTGTTACTAGTTAAATAAAAAGAGAAGTATTCCTTTCCCTGTGGATACGAACCTTACTTTGTTATACTATGTATAATCGTTGTATTGATAATTATTTTGAGTACACACCATGACAAAGTGCACGTCAAATTTGGCGCCGTTGCCGGGGAAAGGCAATTTTTTTCTTTTTATTTTTTCTCATAAAAATCAAAAACAAAAAAAAAACAAAAAAAATTATATATATATAAAAATCTTATTCTTCTATTTTCTGAGCTTACATGAGTTATGAGTATATGGATACCAACACTTCATCCTTAGAGAGTCAAATTTCCTTCTTGACTTCTCTAATAAAGGAATTTATCTTAAGCTCAAAAGCTCAAGATGCCAAGACATGCAACATTTGCATGTCTCACAGGCATCTTACGAATTTCTGCCCAAAGCTCCAAGATGAATACCTTGAATAAATTGATGATGTTGGTTACGAAAGGGATGTACCTCACATGAGGTATGATCCGTTCTCCAACTCTAACATGTCTACGGAGGATATAGTCCGGGCTATTGCTACCAACATGACCACCATGCAAAACAACATGGTGCAATTCCAAAATGAGACCAAGTCTAGCATTTCAAACTTGGAAACTCAAGTGATTCAAATAGCCGGAGCCGTAAGTAGGCTTGAAGCAAGGGATTCAAAAAAACTTCCCTCTCAAATAGAATGTGATCCTCAATAGTAAACTTTTGCAATCACATTGACAAATGAAAAGGAAATGCAAAAGGAGATCCAAAATCCAGAAGAAGTAGAAGAAGAAGAAAGAGACGCAGAGCTCCAGCTAGTCAAAGAAGAGGATGAACCAAGTTTCAAGGTCAAATATCTATCCTTGTCATCCTTTGAGGTACCCCAAACAATTCTAAAAATTTTGAGGGAAACTCATAAAATTGTCAAGGATAATGACCTTTTTGAAATCTTCAAAAAAATTGAGGGATCAAAACATTTTCCATTGACCATGTTTAACGATAATTTCTTTCCCTCACTCCCACCACATGAATCAATGAAAATCTGGATATTTGATCCTGGAAAGATTTCCAAAGTGAAGAGTCAGAAAATTGAGCATTCCTATGAAAATCCTAGGAGTCGAAATGTGAAGAAGGTGAATTATCATGATCCAAGCTTGAAGGATTGAACACAATGATGGCGTCGTGCCGCGACGTTAAACGAGTCGCTTCTTCGGTGGCAATCCATGCAAAGTATGTTTTCTTATCATTTCATTTCAGTTGAGTGTGTGTGTAAAAAAAAAGGTGCAGGTTTCGAAGAAAGGAAGCATTCTCGGTCAAGTATCACTCAATACTCGGTCGAGTATCAACGGAAAAGGCTTTCCCAAAGCTACTGCCTCCAGACGCAAAACGAACAAATAGAGACATACTCGGTCGAGTATCACTCAATACTCGGTCGAGTATGACCAGAAGTGCAGGTTCAAAAGGCTACTGCCTCCGTAAAAATTTGAGCATTTAGAGACATACCTGGTCGAGTATCCACCAATACTCGGTCGGGTATGAGTGGAAATACCTCCCAGACGTTGCTGCCAATGCAAAAAAAAAAAAAAACAGGCATACCACATCAGATACAACGAGATACGCGGTCAGGTAATTGGGATTTCAAACCCAAATCAACACCTAACTTTCCATCTTCTTCCCCAATTCAATCACCCCAAACCTCATACTCATATCCTTCTTTCTTCAAAATCTATCCAAATCCTCCACCAAACCCCACAAAATCATAATCTTGTTCTCATCACTTTCCTCTTGCTTCACATACCCTCTAATCCATAAACTCTAGGAAGCAACCACACCTCTCCCAATCCACAACTTATACCTTAAAAAAAACCGATGGTGATGGCGGGCACTAGGGACAGTGCTTCGAGCTAAGTGAGGGGGAGTCACTCATTGGTACGTACTAATTATTTTTTTACCTTGTAACTAGCATTATTTTCTTCAAAAAAAAAAAATAATAAAAGAAAAAAAAATAAAGAAAAAAATGCTAATTAGGTTGAAAACCCAAAAACGGGCAATCTAAGCAAAAGGGGCTTACAAAAAAATGATGAGTGGGTTGGAAAGGATGGAAAAATTAAAAGAGGTGCTAGGATGAAAACCTGAAAAGGCTCCTAGGAAAAATGAGAGATATGAGAGATGTATTTGTTTTTTTGTAGGACATCATTTAATCTCTTGAAGGAAAAGAAGAAAAGAATAGAAGAAAAGAAATGAGCATAGAAGGTCATAAAACCCAAGAAAATGTTATTCTTTGAGCTAAAACTCAATGTAAAACTCATGTGTTATTCTTGGTGGTCTTTTTCTCTTTCTTGTTAATTGTTGAATTATGGAGGACTTGGAAAGCTTGTAAACATTTGGCTTTACTCGAGGACGAGTAAAGAAACTAAGTGTGGGGGAGTTTGATGGTGTGAATTTCCTATTATGTATGTTTGTATTTTTTAACTAGTTTTATTAGTTCTAGTTGTGGAAATTACACACTTTTGGTGTAATACTTTATTTTCATTAATTATTTGTAATTTATTTAGATTAGGATTATTATGAGCTTAGGACAGGTCAAAATCATCCCAAGAATCAAAGGATGCATCCTAAAGACCAAAGAATGTGCAAAAGGGAGAAGATCAAATGAAGATTTTGATATTTGTTCAATACTCGGTCGAGTATTTCCAATACTCGGTCGAGTATTGGTTGGATACACTGGTCAAAATCAAATATGGGAGCAAAAGAACGTGGCTGAATAATTGACGAAAATCCTGTCATACTCGGTCGAGTATTGACAATACTCGGTCGAGTATGCCTATTTTTCACGATTTCACGGAAATTTCCTCTTATACTCGGTCTAGTATCCCCAATACTGGATCGAGTACAGAACCCTGCCACCTCCATTTTGCTATAAATACACTCCTTTTCCTTCACATTAAAATCATCAATTCTCATATACTTCTAAGCTCAGTTTAGACAAGTATTTCCTTTATATTTTCTAGTATGTTTAGTCTCCAAATGAGGAGCTAAACTCTTCCATCTTGGTTTTGCTACTTTGAAGCTTAATGAATTGTAAGTTGTGAGTTATTTTCTTTAATCTTCTTCCTTGAATATTAATTCTTCCTTTAATCTATCTATATATTAATGTTGGGGAGTGTTACTAAGATGACAATTAGTTAACATCTTGACATTAGTTATAGTAGTATTCATTTTCTTCTTCTATATATTAATGTTGGGGGGTGTTGCTAAGATGACAATTATTTAGCGTCTTGACATTAGTTATAGTAGGATTTATCATCTTTAATATTTTTCCTTGAATATTAATTAATTCCTATTCATATTTTATATTAATATTTTGAACAATACTTAAAGGATCAACTAGTTTTGTTTCATATATTAATTATCACTAGAACCGATCGACGAGTACGCTTGTTAATCGTTCGGTCTTTTCATGGTAGTAAACTTGGATTATTAATGCATGCGTCTCATGGTTAATAATCTAAGGGGAATTAATTATATTGATTAAACCGATAAACCGCTTGTGTTGAGGTTATCAATCTCAATCGTTTTCATCTTAACTTAATTGCTACTATCGGGTTAATATACGACGCGTGTTCTATATTGACTCGGTAGTAAGTTTTATTAATGAACGCGTCTCGTTATTAATAAATATTGTCGATGAATTGGATATACTCCTCTATACTATTTTCATTAATATTAGTATTCGATTCTTATTTCCCCATCCCCGCACCCGCTGCACCCCAACAAATGCTTCAAGAAATAAATAAATAAATAAATAAATAAATAAATAAATAAATAAATAAATAAATAAATAAATAATTGCTTCAAGAAACATTTACGGGGTAGAGTAATCACGAGTATGACGTATACTACTTTTGGTTTACAAACAGCTAATGAAAAAATTAGGAGAGAACGGAAAATAGTTGTGGGGTTCATGCTTCTCGGAGCCACTAGTTCAATTTCGAGTTCCATGACAGGGAGTTATATCAACAACCTCGTTTTTGGCTAATCAAAGTTTGTATAGGTCTCAACCGTAAACCAGAGAGCCCTAGATTCCAAGGTTTTTGTTAACGACACAGTCAGCAAAGGTTTCATGTTAAAGAATGCCAAGAACAACCATGAAAAGCATGTACTTTCACGTGATCAAATGTCATTTTCCCATGGCATCTCAGGTCTTAAAATTCTTCAAAGTAAAAGTTACCCCTTTGACATGTTGACCGAGACAATATTTTACGAAAAGTGTTCAAGAAGTAACGAATAATGCAAATGTGCTACCTTCCAACAGCTTCAATGCTATTATATCTTAGTTTCTTATTATGCACATGTCCAGCAAGAGCTGGCACTAAAAACTCTACCTTTCCACCCCTGCAGTATCCAATGACGTTCATCTAAAAACAGAAACTTCTTGTGAAATCCGGCCTTTGTCTTGTCTCTAAGCTCATTTGCAAGCTCGGGTCTTATGGGAATAGGCTTTAACCCAGCTCTCAAATTATGCAAATGCCACTGCTTGTATATTTCAGGCCTATGCAATCTTTCCATGCCTTCACATGCTAAGATACTCATCATTTCACATGCCCTAGCTTTTTCAAAACTCAACCTGTGAGGATCATCGCGGGGTAATGTAGCATCACACATATCAAAGACTGCAGTGTATAAGAAGAGAGCTTCTCGGAAACGAGATATAAAGAAAGGAGAGCTGTGGGCTCCACTCAGCACTGATTGCACATAAATTTGAGGATTTATTTCACGGATTAATTTTAAAACTGCATCCTTAGGGAGACTTGGAGTATCTGCAAAACCTACTGTCTCATCAAGTAGGTTTTCGAATCGATACAAACAGCAACAATCTCACTAGTCTCAAGCTTTAAATCCTCAAGTTTAACTGTCTCCCAAATTTGAGTTGTTATGGCATTGTACTCAAATGGTACACCAAAACGTTCACAATATTTTGTCAAAAGACAACCGGTCTTTTTTACCATTTCTTCCGGACGAAAATCAGGTTGGGGAAGCTCAATTGCGGTTATTCGAAGTTTAGGAGGTCCACCAGGTCTATGTGATAGATTCTGGATAAGAATGGGCCACTGGAAACCGTAAAGAATACCAAAATCTATGATGTGAAGTGATTTACTTTCCAATGCAACTTCATAAATCATTGTATTTGCAAAGAAAAACGATGTTCTCATGAACGGCCAACATGTAAGGTAGGTGCGATAGGCCGTTATCATTCTAGAAGCTGAGGTCGTATTTGAAGATAGTGCCGCATATAGTTGCGCCCCAGTCCCAGCCAACCGTGCCTCAAAAGCATTTGCAAATGCATGGCCCAGCCTTTGATTTGCATCACCGGTTGGCGAAGAGTGCATCCTAATCTTCATTAGCTTTTCTTCCACAATCCTATATTCAGCATCTGCAATAGATTGTGCACAGCTGGTTAAAAGAGACTCTAGATCCACATTTTTACCAGTCTTTCCTTGTTTCTTTGCATGTCCCTTCCAACGACCTTGTCCTTTCTGTTGGGTGCCCTTTCCAACTACAGATGGAGGATCCTCGTTATTTCTAAACAGCAAAACTTTATCAAACAGCTCTATTATCTCAACCTCCTCCTCCTCCTCCTCGTAAACTGCAGACTGCTTAGTGCGCCTTTCTTCCTGTAACCCAACGTCAACTGAATGTTGATGCTTCTTTCCTCTAGAAGAATCAGCCGCACCCTTATCTGTACTGAGAAGCAACTGATTTTGGGAAGGAAGGAATCTACTTGCTTCCTCCATACCTCTTTTAAACTGCAAGATGGACTCAGTATCACTACATCCATTTGGACCTAACTTAACAGTGTTCAAAGAGTCCATTTGGGTATTCATAATACTATTCAAGCTATATGAAGAACCTTTTGACCTCTCCACATATGATTTAGATAGTCCGGTGTTACAACTACTAGAGCTCCTAAATTTGCTGTCCCGGCTTCCAGATTTATTGTTAACAAAAAGAGGTTCCTGATTAGGTGGTGAAGGTTTTTGATGATGGGCGTCATTAAAGAAATTTTCGACAGCTCTAAGGGAAATAGGGTCATAATACAAGCTGGAATTATTATTCTCATCGATATCACTATCCTCCAGTAGCATCTGGCTAATGTATTTGAGTGTAGGATCAGAGTAGTGATCATCTCGGGAGTCCAAAGTAGGAGCATGTGTGAGCAACGAGGCATCTTTACGGCTGTCTGAAATGTCTTGTGATTCTTTTGAGGTAGAAAGAATGATCTCATTCTCCAACTCGGACTCATTTGCAGAGGACTCAGACAACCTGCTGAACCACTGATCCATAACCATCAATGTGAAGAAACCTATATCCACATAAGGAAAGATGGGTAACCAAACAAAAGGCAGCAACAATAGTTAACTGAATAAAGAGGGAGAATTATCAATGACCGCTCTTTACGTTGGATAGCAACATATATAATGATTAAAACGGATTTTCCAATTATTAATATAATAACATAACATCCATGAATGGTAATTGTACTGCATTTGTGGCGGTTTTAGTCGTTTCCTGTCTGCATTAACCAGTACAACAACAACATCCAAGCCTTAAATGTCTGCATTTAACTGCGAGAGCTAAAATTGATGTCGTTGGGAAAATGCCACAAAAAGTAAAAGGACTGAAATTTTGAAATAGATATATAGTCATACTATAGTTGCTAATTGCTATGGAAGCTAAGGGTGCACATAGAGAAAATATATGGAGCAATGTTAATGTGCTTACTATAAAGTAAGTTGGCTTGATAAATAGACAAGATTCATTTATCACGACCATTTAGAGAATCATGACCATTTATCACGCTAGCGTGCTCTTTAGTGAGCACGCTGTGTGCATATATTAAGTAGTGTAGATAGGGATGACTATAAATAGCCTATCAATCTATCATCCACTTTTAGCTTTATTAACTTAGCAATACAATTGTGTCAAAAAGCTATTTTTAAGCGATGTTTGAAATGAACATGACAGTTCAAAATGAGCTGCAATTTAATAAGTGTAGAAAGTCAATTGATATGTAGCCTTGTTTGGATGAAGAGATGAACTTGACTAGATCCAAAATTAATCAGCTTATTGAAACATTAATAATTGTAGCCTTTCAGTTCGTCTCTTTAATTTACCGGCTTATGGCAACGTTACCTTCCTGCTATTTAGAATTTATTACTCCGTATTTTGTTTATATTGAAACATTTTGGTGTAAGGTAATTTTACATTTTTCAATCAAAATTTCAGCTACGCAGTCAAACAAGTCTACTTCATTCAGCTAACATTTCAATATCAACAACTACTGCCCAGCTCCGAAAAATAATCTCTAAATCAGATAAACTTCAACTTCAACTCGTTTTTCCAAACATAGCCTTAGTATTTGGTAAATGACTTTTTTATTTTATTGTTTGAAGCCAAAAAGCCTAAAATGAAAACGTCATTTTGAGTAGCTTTTTCACTAATAGCTTTTTATTTTGTATTCTAAAGCCTAATATACCCTCCAAATAAAATAAAATAATAATGACAATGTAATAACAATGATAAGAAATATCATCATGAATATTTTTGCTATTTTAAAATATTATTTTAAAAATGAGTTCAAGTAACCGAATTTAAAATATTAATTGTAAAAATAAACGTGTAAATATGTGTGTGCATGCATGAGTGTATATATACAACAACAACATCATCTAAACCTTAGTTTCTAAAGATTTTGGGGTTGGCTAAATACAAGATATCAGAGTCAAAAGGAAAATAAAGATAAGAAAGATAAAAAGATAAGGTTAGATAAAAAGAATAAGATTAACATAAAGATAAATTTAGAATAAAGATAAAAATTCAACAACATGAAAGCCTTAATCCCAAAAGATTTTGGGGTCGGCTAACATGAATCGAACCATGATATATATGACTCCTCATCCAAAGGGTAAAAGAATATCCACCACAAGAATATTCGCCCTCCACTTTGCACTATCTAAAGTCATACTCTCATCCAACCCAAATATAAGCATATCACTCCTCATTCCTCTAATCTATGTCTATTTGGATCTTCCTTTCCCTCTCGGCCTCTCGTACCCGCCTATTCTCCCCACCTCTTGATTTGCCAAATAAGTGTATCACTCTGTCTATAGGTATTACTCCCACTTTCTATCTGATTATCTTATTTTTCAAACAGTCTTTTTTAGTATGCCACTATGCCCATATAAGTTTATCTCTTCGTCTCACTCGAATTTGCCAACTTTTTTTTGTTTGTCCCAAAACTTTGCCACTTCTTTATAAAGGTAGTGAATTTGTGGTTCTTTATATTTTTCTCTCATTTGCACAAATCTCAATCATACAGTTTTGACTTTTCTTATTTTATATTCAAAACAAAGTAGGCAATGTCCAGCATGACGGGGAGTATATATCAAAAAGCGGAAAACTGTCAATTAGGTCCTCGTACTATCACAAAAACGTCAATTAAATTCTCATGCTTTAAAAAAGTCAATCAAATCCCTGAACTTTAAAAAATGTTCAATTGAGTCAATTAGCAGGTTGCCTACCATGTCAACAGATCACCCGCTTATATTTGAAATTGGCCTCGGGTGGAATTTTTTTTATGGAATTTCATGAGCATGTTCTTCATAAAATATGGATAGAGTCCACAAAACTTTGCCTTGTAATTCAATCGGAAAGTCAATTAATTATTTTAAAAACACTGCATTTTTATGTTTATTTTGGCGCATTGTTTTTTAATAATTTATTTAACTGACATCACGGTTGAGTTTTAAGGTGAAAATTGGTGAACATAATATACATTTCATGAAGAACATGCTCACAAAATTTCATCAAAAAATTCCACCCTGAAGAGCCTCAAATGGAGGCGGCCAGATGGCGATGTTTTTAATTGGATTAAAATTTTCTGGTCTTGTGTGGTCTGAACTGATGTCTAGTCCATGTGCATTTTACAATTATAGAATGGTGTCTTGTCTGGTTTGTTTACCTCTAGTCTGGTCTGGGACTGAAATTAGTGTAAGTAAAAACATTTTAACAGTTAATTAATAATTATGTTACAAACATTTTTACTTGAACCCGCTAATTAGATTTATAAGTTAATTAAGGATAGACAAAGGCCAAAAGGGAGAAACTCAAGACTAAGGATGTTGCCTTTTGGACTGAAATTTGTTGGTCTGGTCTAGTCTGGTCTCTGTATTTTATAACTACAGAAGTCAAGTCTGGTCTAAGCTGATCTGGTCTGGTGTGGTCTGATCTGGGACTGATAACAGTCCAAACGAAAACATCCTAAACAAGTAAACAGCCAAAGTAACAATTCATTATAAAATAATAATCATAGCACCAACACTTGAAATGCTCACCAGGTAAAGGTGTTCATTTTGATTACTTTTTATTAAAACTTTCCGTTTTTCGTTTAAATATAAAATGACATGCTAATGCCTTGGATCGTCACCAGCAGTAAATGAGTTCAACCACACATGGATTATAAACAGACAGAAATGGAATCAGCTTCCAATAAAAAATCTTTACTTTACACAATAAATAGGAAAAGATGAAAATGGAATGGACATCAAGTCCTGGAAATCTGAGCACGTACGTACCTTAGACTGAGAAGTGGGAGACAAGCGCGAGTTGTATGATAGCAGCAAAACAACTTAAGCCTACAGAGGATTCAGAAACAGGACGAGAGAAAAAAGAACATCAAGTATGAATTTTCATGAAATAGCTCATGACTTAAGAAACGTGATTGCCAATAAAAATCGTGAAAGCAAGCATCAACAGGCGACTGGGGAGTTGAAATTTATTTTCTTTGGGGTGGAAAGTAACAGGCGACTGGGTAATTTGTTTTTTTTACTCCGTTTAGAACGAAGACTATTTTAAGGGGGTGTTTGGATCTGATTCTCAAAACTGATTCAGCTCCTTCAGGGAGCAGAAGCAGAAGCTGGAGTGTTTGGGTGAAATTCCAGAAGCACTTCTGGAGCTCTAATTTACTCTCAGAATCAGTTTTTTTAGAAGCTGGGGGATACTAGCTTCTGAAAACTGATTCTGATTCTGCTTCTGCTTTTAAAAAAGAAGCAGAAGCAGAATCAGTTCCAAACACCCCCTAAGAAGACTATTTCTTAAAGGGTGACAACTCCGGTATCCTTCTAAAAAAGTGGGGTACCGTACCTACAATTCATTTGATTGGACTACACCACTTTACCATTTTTAATTTAGATTTAAATTATTTAACTGCTAAATTCTTATTGGTCCATGTGGACAAAGGTATGGTAGCTTATGGGTACCATAGAATCTACCTTGTTAAAGACTATCCTTATTCATACATGTAAAAATGGGTCACATCAACTAGTTCATGTGGCCCACGTTATTCCGAGTACTATTTCTAATCTATTGGAAGTTGTTTATTTTAAATTTTTGCCTCAACGTTGGACTTTGAGAGCATCTCCAATCAAGGGTGCATTGGAGGTGATGGGGCATCCAAATGCAAAGGGTCCATTGAGGATGGAAGGGAAAACAAACAAATTTTTAAATTGGTGAGGTGAGACCCAAGGTCTACCAATGGACCTTGTGCAAGACCTTGATCTTCTCTCCTTTGCCAATTAAGCTTGACCTTCTCTATTTTTTGTCAAAATTGCTATAGGTACTCCACTTTTACCCCATTTTTTATCCCATATAAAAACTCTCCCTCATTTTTCTTCTCTCCTCCCACCCTCCCCCACTTTTCTTCTCCCTTCCTACCATCTCTCCTTCCTTTCACGCAGCCCCTCCATCCCCTCCCCTTTCTTTCTCTTTTCTCCAAATCCTTATTTCTTCCTCATTTCAAGATCTCTTCCTTGAGTAATACTTCTCATTTTTTCCATATGTCCCCCTCCAAGCTTCTTCACCTTCTTCTCTCCTCTTCCGCCTTTTTTTTTCCGTTTCTAATGCACGAGTTACAGTAATCAGACGAACGGGGAGAGCTCCGGTGATGTTGGATACATGGGGAGACAACAATGAAGGTGCAGACCAAGAAGCTTTGAATGACTTGAGCAGATCTCCTCTTGATTGTCTGTCTGACAGAGAACTTGTAAGTGCAGTGTCTGTCTGTCTGTAATTGATGATTAATTGTTTTTCATTTGATTTGAGTTGTCTGTATGTAATTTATGATGTTTATTTTTTGAGATGTAATTAGTATAACGAGACAGACATTAAATATACACATACAGACAATAAGTATACACATACAGACATTACTTTATTGTGAATTACCATTTTAACATATGCTTCATAAAAAAGACAGACAATACATATAACTAGACAGACAATAGAGATAACCAGACAAACATTATTTTTCACCATAAATTACATACAACTTACAATAAAATGACAAACAACTAAATATGAGTTACAGACAACTTCACGACTCTTACAGACACCTCACAACAACATAACAGACAAGTCATTACAGACAACTAATAAACAAATGACAAACAATTAAATATCAATAACAAACATTTATTTTTCAAAGGACAGACAACTTCACGACTCTTACAGACATTGTACTTACAAGTTGTCTGGCAGACAGACAACTCATTTTATTTCCAAATTACATAAAAAATCAAGAATACAAAATCAAAAAAAGAATATTTGTTGCTCAAGTTATTCAAAGATTCTTGGTATGCCTTCGTCGTTGTCTTCCCTTGAGGTTGTATCCAAAATGGCAACCGGCATATGCCCGCCGTCGGCAACTGGCGTAGGGCTATGTTGTAAAAACCGGACCGGAGAGTGACCCGGCCACATGACTGGGTCACGGGTCAACCCGGACCCGGTGGGTCAATCCGGTCAACGCCGGAAAACCGGTCAATGATTATACATCTATATAATAATAGTAAACATATAATTATATATAAAATTATAATAAAAATTAGTTATTATTCATAATAATCAACTAACAATACTACTTATTAAACATTTAATACACTCTTATAATATTTCAATGTATATTTTGATCTTATAAAAATATATAATGATATTTTTATTGTACATCTATATTATAATTTGGCATGATGTTCATTCTTAAATAAATATATAAATATATTACGTAGTTTTTCTTTTTAAGGTATTGAAATTGCAATTTTATTGGTATAAAAAATGCATTAAAAATAAAAAAGAAATTACTTTCTTTTTTGGTAAAAACACCCAAAAACTGGGTTTTACCGGGTTTTTCGGGTTTCTTGGGTCCGGGTCTTGACCGGGTTTTCCCGGGTCAGCCGAGTTTTTCCGGTTTTTGACCATTTCCGGGTTTTGAAAAAACCGGACCGGTTTTTTGTCCGGGTCACCGGGTTCCGGGTCAACCCAGCCGGGTCGGGTCGGTTTTTTAAACATAGGCGTAGGGCCGCCGTCGACAATGTCACCGGTGGAAGAGGAGATAAGCAAGAGAAGATCGGAGGTTGAAGGGGGGAAGATGATAAAAATGGGAAGTTTTAAAGAAGGGGAAAGATATTGAAATGGAGAAGAAAGGGAAAGGGAGGGGGGTGCGTGAAAAAGAGGAGAGGGAGGGAGGAAGAGATGTGGGGGTGCAGGAGAGAGGGAAGAGGGAAGAAGAAAAGTGGGGGTGAGTTTTTATATGGGGTACAAATGGGGTAGAGTTTGGGGTACCTATAGTAAAATTGATTTTTTGTTACATTGGAGAGCACAATTATCTCTGTTCTAAAAATCGTTCTAGCCGCCCGACTAGTCCCCGAATAGGCGCTAGGCGGTGGCCGGGCGCCCCGATTTTCATCTAGGCGCTCCGACTAAATGGTTTGCCGTCTAGGTGAATTAGTCGGCCGCCTATGGCGCTAGTTGACCGCCTAGAGCGCTTTATCGGCCGCCTAGGCCGTCTAGATTTATCGAACATTACTTTTTAATTTTAATTTTCCAAGCAATATATGTACTATAACTTTAACCATGAATATAAAGAAATGAAGTTGTAAATTAAGATAAAACTATACATGTTTGTATATATACCTAAATTTTATCATTATTTATATTTATAACATAATGAAGTTAAGTGATTAGTTATCATATACTACATATGATTAAATGTGATAATTCTATCTTTCATGTTTGTTAATGTATATGTATATATGTATTTTATACACACAAAAATACAATATTACTTAGCATATTTATGCAAAAATATAGATAAAAATGCAATTTCTAGGTCTCCGACTAGTCCCCGACTAGGCGCCCGCCTAGCCGCCTAGGCGCTAGGCGCTGGGCTGGCGCCCGACTAGCGCCTAGCGCCTTTTAGAACATTGACAATTATTAAAGTGGAGTGCATTTGGTGAGGTAGAGATACAATCCACCCTAGGGTTGGAGATGCTCTGAGTTCGTATATGGTACCACCGGTTGTACGGTGAGCACCGTACAGCCGGCCCAATAACAGGCCTATGGGAAAAATAGCAAAATAATTCGGTGGAATTTTTGTAATTAATGTGTAAATCACGGTTTATGTTAAGTGAGCATTAGTGTACTTTTAATGAGCAATAGTCCAATTTCAATGAGTATTAAGAGTCTAATAATGAGCACCGTGTTATTATAAGAAAGCTGATATCACAAACTAAAAACAGTCGCATTTTCGTAATTTTAGTAAAAATCGTGGTTTTCGTTAGATGAACATTAATATACATTTAATGAGCGTCAGACACATTCTACTGAGTATTAAGAGTCGAATAATGAGTATTGTGATATCAACTTCATATATTGTAATTCACTTTCTTTTTCTTATTTTTTCATTTATAAAAACTCATTAAATTATATCTATAATCAATTTCTACGAATTTCAATATGCGAATCTAATGTAATATGGTATTTTTGAAATATGCATTGTTATGATATTTTAAAAATGAGCATTGCATGAGTAGCAGTTGAGCACACGTAATTTACAAAATGAGTATTTATTAGAAACTCATAAATATTTTGAGTTGAGTATCAAGACATTTTCATTGAGCATCAAACCTTCTCTATTGAATATTAGAAACATGCAATTGGGTATCATTCATTGTATCTGTATGTGCTCTCTATCTATAATCAACTCTTACGTGAATCTAATGTAATATGGTACTTTTCAAATATGCATTGATATAATATTTTAAATTGAGCATAATACCAGTACAAAATGAGCATACATTACTTACCAAATAAGCAATGATATGAAAATCATAAGCTTTGTTAGTTGAGCATCATCAAGACATTTTCATTGAAAATCAAACTTGCTCAATTGAGTATCAAAAGCATGCAATTGAATATCATGACATTTCTTCCCAATATATAATTTAACTCTTATGCGAATCTAATATGATACTTTTGAAATATGCATTCATACAACATTTTAAAATGAGAATAAAACTAATACTAGATGAGCATACAGTACTTACAAAAATGAACATCGAAAAATTCAAAATCTCATTTGAATTCTTTAATGTGTTCAAATATTCAATTGTGTGTGCTCATTTTTTCATCTTTATACTCATTCAAATATAGCACAAACTGTTTTCTATAATATATTTATCCAGTAAATTCATTATTATCAATTGTGGATGCACATTTATTTTAAATTATACTAAGCTAGTATAACACAAAACACATGTTAATAATTAACGTACAATATTTAATAAACTAAGAAATATTCATCTTAAAACTAGAAATATAGAAAACAAACATTAATTAAAAAGCAAAAACATATGACCCGAATCTTTTTTTATAATGCACAAATTAAAAAACTTAATTTTGAAGGTGAGTGGAAGAACAAAAAAAAAGACAAACTCAAACATTAAATAATATTTTATATAATACATTATCAT